TGGAGCAACCTGGGCTGGTGGGAGGTGTCCCTGCCCATGCAGGGGGGTGGGACTGGGTGATCTTGAAGGTCCCTTCCAACCTCCATGATTCTCCTGGCTCCCTCTCCCAAGGGATGTGGGTTTGGGTTCCCTATATCCTGACTGGCAGCAGAAGCTCAGAGCCCTCCCAGTCACCCCCCAGCCTGGGGTGACGCTGCACGAGTGGGGGAACTGAGTCACGGGAAGGTGGAGAGACCCACCAGCTGCAGCAGGAGGGTTGTCCCCTTCCCGAGACACCTCCAGGATGGGCTCTGTGCCTCAGTTTCCCTTTCCCTGTACCTCAATTTCTCCACCCCTCCCTGTGCCTCAGTTCCCCTTTCCCTGTGCCTCAGTTTCCCTCCCCTCTTCTCTGTGCCTCAGTTTCGCTGTCCCTGTACCTCAATTTATCCACCACCCCCACTGTGCCTGTTTCCTTTCTCCCCCTCTTCCCTGTGCCTCAGTTTCCCTTTCCCTGTACCTCAATTTCTCCAACCCTCCCCGTGCCTCAGTTTCCTCCCTCTTCTCTGTGCCTCAGTTTCCCTGTACCTCAATTTCTCCACCCCTCCCTGTGCCTCAGTTTCCCTCCCCCCCTCTTCCCAGTGCCTCAGTTTCCTTTTCCCTGTGCCTCAGTTTCCCTCCCCCCCTTCCCTGTGCCTCAATTTCTCCCTTTCCCTGTGCCTCAATTTCTCCACCCCTCCTCGTGCCTCAGTTTCCCCTCCCCCCTCTTCCCTGTGCCTCAGTTTCCCTTTCCCTGTGCTTCAGTTTCCCTCCTCCCCCTTTCCCTGTGCCTCAGTTTCCTTTTCCCTGTGCCTCAGTTTCTCCACCTCTCCTCGTGCCTCAGTTTCCCTCCCCCCCCTTCCCTGTGCCTCAATTTCCCTTTCTCTGTGCCTCAGTTTCCCTTTCCCTGTGCCTCAAGTTCTCCCCCCCTCCCCGTGCCTCAGTTTCCCTGGTGGCAGCGGGGCAAGGCCAGGGGGCTGCAGGGCTGCTCAGAGGAAGGTGCCAGCGGCTGTTCCGGCTGCGAGGGACACCCAGGGGTGCCGAAGGCTGCGGGTGGAGCAGCAGGGCCCTGGGATCAGCTGGGACAGGGCAGTGTCAGTGCTGGCTGGGATATCTGGACCTCATCCGTGCCGGGAGGGAGGGACGCGGGTCACGAGGGGCCTGAGGAGCTGTTGGCAGGGCTGGGGTGCTGGGCAGCCTGCCCTGCCCCCCTCTCCCCACATCTACCTCCCAGATGCTCTGGTTTCTTCCCCCCTTTTTCTGATTTTTTTGTTTTTTAGGGGAAACCTCATGCCAGGGACTTCCCTGGCAGGGCCCAGCCTGGAGCTGCTGCTGGAGGGAGGGCTCTGCAGAGCTGGTGGGTTCCTGGCCAGCTGGGACACTGGGAAGGAGTTGCCTCCTCCTTGGAGGGGAGGGATGTAACAGGGCAGGGATGCAACAGCCCAGTGCTGCTGGGAAAAGCTGGGAAAGAGGGAAACAACAGGGGTGGAGGAGCTGTGAGGAGGGGAAGAGGCTCACAACGCAGGGATGTGCTGGTCCCCTGGCCAGTGCCAAACTGGAACCAACCCCCTCCTGTGTTTCGTGACAGGGTGGGTGCCTGGGATTCCCCTGCCTGCTCCTGCTTCCCACTGAGCACCAGCTCAGTGTTTCCTCCTGGTTTTCCCCAGCCCAGGGCGTTTGCTGGGAGAGAGAAGATTCCCTTGGAGAGTGACACCCAGGGCTGTGCTGGGTTCTGCTTCCTCCTGGCTCTGCTGGTGCCAAGGATGCTCTGCCCACTGCTTGTCCTGGGAGCACTGGTGCTCAGCCTGGCAGGTGAGCAGGGATGGAGAGAGAGGGGTTGGGGTTGGCATGGTCCGAGTGTCACCACCCTGCAGGAGATACCCTGAGTGCCACCTTCACCCCGACAGAGCTGCCTTGGAGCTGTGGCTCCAGGTGGCAGGAGCTCCCACGAGGTGTTTCTCCTGGTTTCGTGGTCCTCCAGCCACCCAGGGCATCGCCCTGTGGGTGGGTGGGGTGGTTCCTGGGCCACCCTCACCACGGGGGACACCACCTCCCGTGTGCTGCAGCTGAACAGGGGAGGACAAACTCCTCACTGACCTGGGTCTGTGTCCCCACCTGCTGCAGCTCCTGGTCCCTCCAGGTTGCAGCACCTCAGCCCAGGAGAGACGCTGGGACCCAATCCTTTTGGAATGCTCAGCAGCAGTTCCAGCCAGGCTGTGTCGTGTCCCTCAAACCTGCTGGCATTTCTTCTTGGCCTGAGGGAGACGTGAGGCTCTGGAACCTGCCAGGAGCCAGGCAGGCTGCCCCAGCACTCCTGGCTGCAGTCCCTGGCAGGTCTTCTCCAGCCTGACTTCCTCCTGTGGCTCCTCATCCTCCCTGCTCAGGCTCTTGTTTCAGATTGTCTCACTCAGGGAGGTGGTTGCTGGAGGTGATGGGTTTGAGGTGGGAATATCAAGCACATCTCTAGTCTGAGGCACGATTTTCTGAGGTTGGGAGGAGCTGGTGAATGAATGAGCTGGTGGTGCCAGGGTCTGTTTTGGGGGCCATCACTGCTGGCTGCCAAGGGGCACCCCAAGTCCTGGCTCTGAGGATCTGGCAGCCCTGGGAGGGTTGGCATCGTTGCTTGATGCAGAGGCAGGGCTGGCATTGTGCCCTGGGCTTGGGGACATGGTGGGCATTGTGCTGGGGGCTCAGGGAAGTGGTTGGCACTGTGTCATGGCACTGGGACATGGGTGATGTCCTGCTGGGGGCTCAGGGAGGTGGTGGGCACCGTGTCATGGCACTGGGACATGGGTGATGTCCTGCTGGGGGCTCCGGGAGGTGGTGGGCACCGTGTCATGGCACTGGGACAGTTGCCATCCTGCCATGGCACACAGGTTGGCATCATGCTGGAGCACTGATGCCATCTAGTGTCTGCCAGCCCGGCCCAGCTCCTGGGGACACGGGGACTGGGTGTCCCCACTGCTGGCACCCACCAGCCTCCTCTCCCCGTGGGGAGAGATGGGGCTGTGTGTCCTGGGGGGTGCAGGTTTGGGTGCCTGGAGCTGGCATCTGGTGCCCCAGGGTGGGTGCTGGATGTGGGGTTGTCTCCCTGCTGACTCTGGGGGGGGGGGTGCTGAGCTGCCACCTCCCCACAGGTCCCTCCTGTGGGCATCCCTTGATTGGCTTAGCTGCCCTCTGGGTGGAGAACGAAGGAGGTGCTTCTGCAAGGTTGTCCTTGTCACCTTCCTGCAGGTGCCATGGAGATCCAGGTCCCTGAGGAGCCCGTGGTGGCCCTTTTTGGCCGAGATGCCACCTTGCTCTGCTCCTTCTCCCTGGAGGCCAACTTCAGCCTGGACAACCTGACCCTCATCTGGGAGCTGACAGATACCAAGCGCTTGGTGCACAAGTTCTCCGGGGGCAGGGACGAGCTGGCAGACCAGGGAGGGGGCTACACCAACCGCACAGCCCTCTTCTACGACCAGCTGGCCCGGGGCAACGTGTCCCTGCTCCTGCGGCGGGTGGAGATCTCGGATGAGGGCAGCTTCACCTGCTTCGTGCAGCTCCAGAAGCACAGGAACGCAGCTGTCACGCTGCAGGTGGCAGGTGAGAGGTGAAGAGTCAGGGTGGTCCTCGCGTGTCTCCCCCCCAGCCCTCCTGAGGAGGAAGGTTCTCATCGTGCTTTGGGACTTCGTGGAGGGTCTTTGTTTCTCTCTGCCCTTGTTGTGGTCTCCTCAGGAGACCCACTGTCTGCATCTGTCCCTTCCCTGCCGTGCTGGGGAGGCTCCCTGCTGAGAAGCATGGCCATGAAGGAGCTGGGAAGGCTTCAGCTGGTTGCTCTTACCAGCTGGAAGGGTCTTTCTTGGGGCTCACCTGACCTCACTGGGTTGCTTCAGTTCCTTGGGTCTTCTCCTTCACCTCACGCCAGCTTCACCTCTTCACCTCCTTCACCTCTCCCTTGCAGCTCCCTACTCCAAGCCCAGCATGAGCCTGGAGCCCAGCAAGGACTTGAAGCCAGGAGATCTGGCAGCCGTGACTTGCCACGCGTCCCGTGGCTACCCCGAGGCAAGTGTCCTCTGGCAGGACAGCAGGGGCAGCAACATCACCGAGAACGTCACCACTTCCCAGGTGGCCAACGAGGAAGGTCTCTTTGATGTGCACAGTGTCCTCCAGGTGCTGGTGGAGCCCAGCAGCACCTACTCCTGCCTGGTGAGGAACCCGGTGCTGCAGCAGGAGACTCATGCCTCTGTCACCATCACAGGTGAGCCAGCAAGGGCCAGCACTGGGGGAAGGGAGGGGTGGCTCTGGCTCAACAAGGTGACCGTGGTGGCACTGGGGTCCCTCCTGTGGCCCAGAGCCACCCTGGGGGTTGCTGCCCCATATCCCTGCTCTACCTCTCTCCCCGTGGACCTACAAGGGCGACTTCAGGCTGTGCTGTCCTCCCTGTCCCCCCCACGCCAGCATCCCAGCTGGGACCAGTGCCCCTAGTTCTTAGTCTCTGGCTTTGCTAGTTGCCCTGTCCCTGTCCAAACCACCCCAGAAGCCAGCACAGGGCATGGTAGTTGCCTTCTCCTAGCAGGTGGCCATGGGATGCTCTCAGTCTGGGGTTCTCCAGCCCAGCTGTGACAGCCCTACTTCAGGAATCCAGGCTGGAGGGGTTCCTCAACCATCCTCAGCCTCCTGGCTTCACTTGGAGCTCCTCTTGCTGCCCTCCTGGAGCTCTTCATAACCTTCTGTGTTGATCAGACTTTCATTACCCTTGCTATGGCACTTGCTGGACCATCAACCTTTTAGCTGGAAGCACCCTATTCTTGCAGGAAAGCTCTGTAGATGCTGCTGGTTGGGGACAGAGGGGTGGCTTTTGCATGGGCTCCCAAGTGTGAGAGCAAATGGTCAGCCTTGGGGGGACACCTGTGGAGAGGCAGGGCTTGGGACAAGACTTTATTTCAAGAAGGAGCAATATTCCAGGGAAAAATCAGATTCCCAGTGCTCCAGGAGCTATGCCCCAAACCCTGGTGGTGCCTGCCAGGCCATCTGAGACCCTGGAGAAGGTGGCCCCATCCTTGGTGGCCCCATGGTGTGAGATGAGAGGGGGAAGGGATCATGTGAAACATCATCTGCAGCTTCTCTTGAACGTCTTGTTTGAGTTCATCAGTGCAATTATTGAAAGGTTAACTCAGTATTTTGGGGAGTGACTCAACCTGCTGCTTCCCTGGCTGGATCCAGACCTGCTGGAGGAGGCTGGCATTAAAAAAAAACACTGATGGTTTTGCTTCCAAAGCCACCAGTTGTGTCACCAACACACCTGGGGACGTGCCCCTGCCACCCAGCTCCTGGGTGCTGACACGTGTGTGTGTGTGTGTGTGTGTCCCCTTGTGTGCTCACCCTGGTGACATTTCTCTTCCTTCCCCCTGCAAGGCCACCACCTGGCCTTCCCTGCCGTGGCTCTCTGGCTGACAGTGGGACTTGCTGCCTGTGTGGTGGCACTACTTGCTGTCCTGGCCTACGTGTGCCAGAAGAAGATCCGCCAGAGCTGCGAGGAGGAGGAGGACAACGCAGGTAAAGGGGGTGGATCCATGGGTGGAGGGGGCTGGATTGGAGGAGCCAGGGCAAATTTGTCCTGGCATCTTGGAAAGGATGAAGGGGATGATCTGCCTGAGGGTAGGGAGGCTCTGAAGAGGGTCTTGGGCAGGCTGGATCCATGGGTCAAGGCCAGTTGTTGGAGGTTCAAGAAGGCCAAGTGATGGGTCCTGCTCTTGGGGCACCACAAGCCCAGGTGAAGCTACAGGCTCTGGGGAAAAGGACCTGGGGGAAAAGGACCTGAGGGTGTTGATTGGCAGGGGTTGAAGATGAGCCAGAGTGGCCAACACAAGCCCAGGTGAAGCTACAGGCTCTGGGGGAAAAGGACCTGGGGGTGTTGATTGGCAAGGGTTGAACATGAGCCAGAGTGTGGCCAGGTGGCCAGGAAGGCCATCAGCATCCTGGCTGGTGTCAGCACTGGGGGGTCCAGCAGGGCAGGGATCACCCCCCATGCTGGGCACTGGGGAGGGGGCACCTGGAATCCTGGGTCAGGTCTGGGCCCCTCAGGACAGGAAGGACATGGAGGGGCTGGAGCGTGTCCAGGGAAGGGGAACAGAGCTGGGGAAGGGGCTGGAGCACAAGTGTGAGGAGCTGGGGGTGTCCAGGAGGTGAGGGGAGACCTGCTGGCTCTGCAGCTGCTGAGAGGAGGTTGGAGCCAGGGGGGTCGGGCTCTGCTCCCCAGGAACAAGGGGTGGGACAAGAGGAACCGGCCTCAGGTTGTGCCAGGGGAGGTTGAGGTTGGATCTGGGGAACAATTTCTTTCCTGAGAGTGGTCAAACATTGGAACAGGCTGCTCAGGAAAGTGGTAGAGCCACCATCCCTGGCAGTGTTGGATGAACAGGTAGATATGGCACTTCAGGACATGGCTGGCATGGTGGTGTTGGGTTGGTGGTTGGACTTGATGGTCATGGAGGTCTTTTCCAGCCTGAGTGGTTCCCTGATGGTTGGAGCTGCTGGGCTTGGCAGGCTCCAGCAGATCCATGCCAGCTTCGTGCATCACTCTTGGTGGCTCTTTCAAACCTGGTTTCCTCCCACCTGGGTCATCTCCCCTTGTCACCTTCCTGCTCCCAGCATCCTCTGTGTGTCTGGCACCCACAGCTGGGCACATCTGGAGCACCTCTTCCCAGACACTGCCTCTGGCACCACGAAACACCAAGTGCTTTGACACAGAAATAGCAGGAGAGAGATGCTCCTTCCTTGTTTTCTGCATCCCTCTCCCTGTTGGTTTTGTTTGTTAAATTATGGAGAGGAGTTTGCCCAGAAAAGGGGGCTTTGTTGCTTTAAAAACATGCTCTGAAAGTGGCTGCAGAAGCAGCTTTGCTGGCATCCCCTGTTTGGGTTTCCCTGTTTGGCTTCCTTGTTTGTTTGGCTTCCCTGTTTGTTTGGTTTCCCTGTTTGGTTTCCCTTTTGGTTTTCCCTGTTTGGTTTTCCCAGTTGGTTTCCCTGTTTGTTTTCCCTGTTTGTTTTTCCCTGTTTTTTTTTCCCTGTTGGATTTCCAGTTGGGTTTCCCTGTTTGGTTTTCCCTGTTTGGTTTTCCCTGTTTGGGTTTCCCTGTTGGGTTTCCCTGTTTGGTCTCCCCTCTCTGCTTCCCAAGGTGTTTGCTCTGCCAAAGCCTCTCCCTGCCAGCTCTGCTGTGGGGCCAGGACCTGCAGGCTCCTTCCCCAGGGGCTCCCACTTCCCTCCTCTCTGCTGAGGACCTGGGTGCTGGTGCCACCACGATGCCTTGAGGACAGAGGGATTTTTCCTTGGCAGATCCCAGGGAATCCTCTGCAGGAGATAGAGAATCATAGAATCCCAGACTGGTTTGGGTTGGAAGGGACCTTAAAGACCATCAGGTTCCAACCCCCTGCATGGGCAGGGACACCTCCCACCAGCCCAGGTTGCTCCAAGCCTCATCCAACCTGCCCTTCAACACTGCCAGGGATGGGGCAGCCACAGCTTCTCTGGGCAACCTGGGCCAGGCTCTCACCACCCTCACACTCCACAATTCCCTCCTCATGTCTCACCTCAATCTCCCCTCTCCAAGTTTAAAACCATGACCCCTTGTCCTATCAAGTATAATATTATTTATAGATATTTTTCCCCTCTCTAAGAGTATTTTCTCCCCAGCCAGGGGGTTTGTGACCCAGCCATGGCCCTCAGTCCTGTAGCATCAGGACACAGCTCCAAGCCCAGGTCTTTCTGCACTGCTGGCTGCACAGCCTTAGCAATGACCTTTTCTCTGGCTCCTGGTCACCCAGAAATCAGGGAGAAGCCCTGGAGAGGCAGGAGGGGGGAGCTTTGCTGCTCTTCCTACCTGGGAACATCCTCCTGGCAGGTCCTGCCCAAGAGGGTGCAAAGCTCCTGGGCTCCCAGCTGGGGTGGTAGCCTGGTGGGTGCTGTGGGAGGGGGAAGGGGATGCTCATCCCTCGGTGCTGATGGGGTGTCCTGGGGGATCTGGGGTGTCCTGGGGGATCTGTGGTGGCCCAAGGGATCCGTGGTGGCCCCACTGAGCCCCTGGCTCTGCTCCAGATGGTGGCTGTGCTAGAAACAGGGAATGAGCAGCTGCCTCTCCTGGAGCTGGGACTGTCTGTGCTGTGCTCCTGGGGGACCTGCCACCACAGCACAGCCTTGTGCTGGGGGGATTCTCCTCTCCTCCCCCAACTATGGGGTGCCAGGGGGGTGCTGGGTGCCAGGAGGGTACCCACCAACTCCTCCCTGAGCATCCTCAGCAGGGCCAGGGATGTGCAGTGATAGTGGGTGGCTCCAAGCAGCTGGGGACAGTGGCAACCCAAAGGGACAGCCACCCAGGGGAGGGGTTGGGGTGAAGCCCAGCAGATGTTTGACATCCTCTTTTTGCAGGGACAGAGGAGCAGGATGAGGAAGGACCCAAGACAGGTGAGTGGGAGGGGCTTGTGTGGTGTCTGCTTGTGCCACTGTCCCCTGCCAACCCCCTGCTGTGCCCTGTGTCACAGCTCAGCCCCCTCCCCATGCTCCTCCTCTCTTCCCTGCACCCTCAGCCTGGGTGAGGGTCCCTTATCTCCCTGATAAGCTGCACTGTCTCCTGGGTGCTGGGGGTACCAGCTCCTTGGCTGTAGGCACCAGGAGTTGGTTTGCAATGGGAACTGGTGGGTGCAGTTCTCAGGGTGGGGTCCCCAAAATGGGGCTTTTAGGTTTGTTTTTTTAATACCTGGGGAGGTGTTTCCTTGCTCCTCACCCTCCCTGTGTCAGCTCTGGGGCCTGACCTTGTGCTGTTCTGCTTTTCACAGCCCTGCAGCCTCTGAAGAGCACAGAGAGCAGAGATGGTGAGTGTGTCCACCTTGTGGCTGCCCCATCCCTGGCAGTGCTGAAGGGCAGGTTGGATGGGGCTTGGAGCAACCTGGGCTGGTGGGAGGTGTCCCTGCCCATGCAGGGGGGTTGGATCTGGATGATTTTTAAGGTCCCTTCCAACCTGAGTCATTGCAAGGCATTTGGGTCCTTTGGGGTGGTTTTTTGGAGTGTTGCCATGGGTTTGCTGAGAGGAACAGGTGGGATTGGTGCTCACCTTGTGGAGAAGGAGGCATGAGCTTCATCCCTCCCCATGAAGAGTTCCCCAGTAGCAACTTCCTGCTGCTTTTTTTATTCCTGAGCACTGGAATCCCAGCTCCTGTTCTTGCCACTCAGCGTCTCCTCTCAACCTCCTGGCTTGGTGCTGCCAACCTTCCTTCACCCAGTCACAGGCTGGTGAGGTTGGAAGGGGCCTCTGAAGATCATCCAGTCCAACCCCTCTGGCAAAGCAGGATCACCTCCAGGAGATCCCACAGGAACACATCCAGATGGGTTTGGAATGACACCAGAGAAGGAGACTCCACAGCCTCTCTGGGCAGTCTGGCCCAGGGCTCTGCCACCCTCAGTTTTTCCTCATGTTGACCTTGAACTTCCACCCATCCCAGCCTGGTGATGGGCACCAGCACTTCCCATGCCTGGTCAGCTGGTGAAGCACCAACCAGCTCAGCTTTTCCTCCTTTTATTCCCTTATCTCCCCCTCACAAGCTGCCACAGACCACGTGTGGCTTCCCAGCCTCTTGGCTTTTCACCCCTGACTCACCCTGGTTGCTTCACCCTGTGGGTGACACATCCCCCCTCTTGCTCCTCAACCTTTGCAGCAGAAATGGAGCTTGGAGAAGAACATCTCCTGGGGTTTGCTGGCTGGGAGGGGCCGTAGCCAGGAGGGTGGATGGAAGGATAAAACCCTCCATGTGCTGGATGGATTTGCCTGAGGGATCAAGCCTGGCAGTGGGGATCCCAGTTTTCCAGGGCAAGGAGAACCCAGAGCTGCTGGGTTCACCACATTCACTCATGAATCTGGACCTGGGAATGGTTGTGGTTTGGTTTTATTCTGGTTTTTCTTTTTTTAAGGTCTTTGCTGATTTTTATTTAGTAATTTCTATTTCTTCCTTTCTTTTTCCTCCCCAGAGAATGAGCAAGAAATCGATTGACAGGAGCTGGGACCCCCCCCCCAAGCTGTGCCCTGGAGCAGCTGAGATGGAGATCTGGGGTCCCCTGGGGAGGACTTGGACCTGCTGCCACCCCTCCCCCAGGCCCTGCCACCCTCCTCCATCCCCAGCCACATCTTCGGGGTGTCCTGGGGCTGGAGAGAGAAGCTGCTTCTCTTTGTCCCTGGGGAGCCCCCAAACCTGGTGCATCCTCCCTGGGGACAGTCTGGGTGGCATGGAGGTCCCTCCTTGTCCTTCTGTCCATCCCCACATGGGGCTGAGAGCAACTGGGGTGCCCTGATCCCACCCCCCATCACCCCCTGTGCCTGCTCCCGTGTGGCTGCACCCAAACCACCCAGGTCAAGTGTTGGTGCCTTTCCCAAGCCCAGATGCCTCCAGAAGGGTGATGGGCTCAGGGAGCAACCCCAGAACTTCTAAGGCTCCATGGAAGATGGACCTGCAGGACCCTCACACACAGGGGGATGGTGCTCTCAGCCCTGATGGATCCCTCGCTCTGGGGACATTTGGGGACTTATTTTTTCACCTTGTGCCACTGTGGTTCCTGCTGGACTTCTGAGTTTTGCCTTATATGCAAAAAACACCCCCCAAAATCCCCTTGGGGTGATTTTCCTGCCTTGAATTCAGCTGGGGGGTTGATTGGGAGGTGCTGGGGGGTGAAAGGCAGAGCTTGGGGGGGACCTGCTGGCTGGGTGAAACCCCCCCCCTGTCCTCCCTGTGGTGACAAAGCTGATACTTTGGGGGCTGAAGCACCAGGGGGGGACACAAATCTGACTGGGGGGGACTGTGTTTCCCATGGGATTGAAGGTCTTTGCCCCTGTCTGTGTCCTGGGGACCCTCCCTCTGCTACTGGGGTGAACAGGGTGACACGTCCCTGGTCCCACTGGTGTTGGGTTGGTGGGGGAAGTACCTGCTGTCCCCCCCTCCCTGGCTCTTCTGCTGGTTTTTTGGTCCTTATTTAAAAATCCAGCCTCTGAAAGGGATTGTTGTGCCTTGGCAAATAAATGTTGGGGGTTGTTTCCAGGCTTGGTCTGGTCTCCAGGTTGCAGCTTTGGCTGGAAGGAGTTTTAAGTACTGAAACTCCTCAAGTGCCACCTCCATGTGTCCCTTCCCTGTCTGTCCCTCTGTCACCTCACACCGTGTCACCCTCACCCATCCCCATGGAGAAGACCACCCCAGGGATGCAGACCTGCCTGTCCTCATCCTGCCTCTTCATTTTGACACCTCCAGCAGGAGAACAAAGAGGAAAGAATCCCAAGGGGATGTTACCATCTCTGTGGTGGCTCCAGAGTCCAGTTTGGGACCTTCCCAGCTGAGCCCTGGAGGTTCATTTTGAGCTGCATGGACCTGGGCTCTGCTTTTCTGAGCAGATTTCTAAAAGGGAGACCAAGGGAAAGGTTCTGGGATGAGGGAAGGGGTGTGGGTGGTGGTTTCATCTCAGGGGGGTTTTGGTCTACAGCCTGAATGAAGAACTGTGGTTTTTCATGAGGTGTCATTAGTATTAATTGGCAGCTGGACTGGGGGGAATGAAGCCATTAACCAGCCCCTGGTGGGCAGCAGGATGAGTAGTCCCCATGTCCCCCATGGTCCTGAGATGGTGCCAGCATCCCTGGGGATGTCTCCTCCAGTTGGGAGCTTTCTGGGGGGTTTCTGAGGGTAGATTGGAGGGTTTCTTTGGTATCATTGGTGGTGTTGGTCGTCAGCTGGACTTGATGATCTCAAAGGTCTTCTCCAGCCTTGGTGATTCTGTGATAGTGCAGCCTGGGCCATGCAGGGTGGGGATGGTGAAGGAGAAAATCATCCTGAAGTTGCAGCAGCCCAGGGAAAATCCTTGGGTGGCTCAGGGTGATGAGATGTCCTGGGCAGTGAGCCCAGGGGGATGTCCTGTGCTTTGGCATGAGATAAAGCCCCCCCAGAAGGAGCTTAGTTGTCCTCCTTGTCCTCAAGTGCTGTCTTGCTTTTGGGGGTGTCCAGGTGAGGTGGGTCTTTTTGGGAGGAGGAAACCAACCAGCATCACCCTCAGGGTGTCCTTCATCCAAGGTGCTGGTTTGTGGCTCAGAGCCAGGCAGGGATGAGGCTGGTTGGCCCTGGTGCCACCACCCTGCTGGGTTTTTTTCCCTTCCCTCCAAAACCCCAGCCTCCTTTTTCCACCCATTCCTGGGCACCAGTGAACTTGGCAGGCAGGGAAGTGGGATTTAAGAGGGATGCAGAGTGGGAAGGACCTGGCACCCTGACCTGGCAGCAGCTCTGCTCTCAGAGTTTGCTCTCAGCCCTCCTGGGAGCAGCTGAGGCTGGAAGTCCAACCAAACACCCTGGTTGGGTTAAAAAACCACCTCAAAAGAAGGGTGGGATGTTGCTTCCTACAGCATGGACCAAAGGCTCCCACCATGGGACTCATCCTGCTCCATCAAAGACTTCCCAAGGCTGGGCTGTGCACCCCTTGGAGTTGGGGCTCAGGGAAGCTCTTGGGCTCCTGGCAGCCCACACTGCAGGGAGCAGGAGGTTGTCCCCAGAGTCCTTCAGTGCTGGAGGAAATCTCTGCTGGGAGGACTTCATGATGATGGATGCAGCACAAGCTGTGGCCTGAGAGCTGGGAGGTGGTGGGTGGGACATTTGTGCTGTCTGTTGCTCTCTTTTTGCACCCAAACAAGAAGGAAGACACTTTCTCACCCAACAGGTCCAGGTTTTTCAGGCCAGGGAACTCTCCCATCCCCTGGTTCATCCCAAGATGCCTGAATTGATTCTCCACCCTCCCACTCCTGGTGCCTCCACCCAACAGCTGGTGGCTGGAGCTGGTGCAAGGGGTGAGAAACACACCTTTGGGCACAGGAACCTGGGGCTGTGTTAGCCTGGGGACATGGCCCTGGGGCTGCAGGTGGCTCCTTGGGTTCCTGGAGGAGCTGCATCTCTCCCTCAGCAGGAGCAGAGAGATGTGGGGTGCAAGGTCCACGTAGACCTCCCTCCTCCAGCTGGTTTGCAGGAGGTTGGGTGAATCAACCTTCAGGGCTGTGTCCTGCTGGGTGATGGGGCTGTGGGCAACATCAGCATCACCTCCTGTCCTCCTGGTTGCCTTTGGCTGCAGGAACCCCCCTGTGAAAACCCAGCTTGTGGGGTGAAAGACACTAACCTAGTGGAGGGGTGGGCTGGGTTTGGGGATGACCCACTGGTTGCTGAGTTAATAAAGAAGGTTTGAGCTGCTAGAGAGGTTTGTCTTGTTGTGTCATTTATTCATCACTCTTAAAACCATCAGGGGCAGGGCTGGGACATGGGGCTGGTGCCAGAAAAGGGTCTGGTCTGGTTCATGCTTTGAGGAGACAACAATTCAAGGCCAAGTGCAAGGTTCTGGGGGTGTTCAGCCTGGAGAAGAGAAGGCTCCAGGGAGACCTTAGAGCACCTTCCAGTGCCTGAAGGGGCTCCAGGAAAGCTGGGGAAGGACTTGGGACAAGGGCAGGGAGGGAGAGGACAAGGGGGAAGGGATGAAAACTGACAGAGGGAGATTGAGGTGAGACATGAGGAGGGAATTGTGGAGTGTGAGGGTGGTGAGAGCCTGGCCCAGGTTGCCCAGGGAAGCTGCGGCTGCCCCATCCCTGGCAGTGTTGAAGGGCAGGTTGGATGGGGCTTGGAGCAACCTGGGCTGGGGGGAGGTGTCCCTGCCTGTGCAGGGGGGTTGGGACTGGATGATCTTAAAGGTCCCTTCCAACCCAAACCATTCCACGATGATTTTATGACCATGCATGGGCCAGCAGGGGAAGGGGATCCCACCAGGGATTTGGGTGCAACCCTGAGTGGGAGCTTTGCTCATCCCCATGGTCTTCCCTAAAAACAAACAGAGCAGGTGACCCCACCTCAAACCCAACCTCCAGCTCCCTGACCAGGAAGAAGATCCTTCAGCCAGCAAACCCCACTTCCCAGGGCCAGGCACCCTTGGGAACACACCATGGGTGCCACCAAAAGCCCTTCCTGGATGGTTCAGCCACAGCTTGGAGGAGCAAAACCTGCCCAGGGCATCACCCCCACATCGAGGGGACCCCCTCAGTGGGTTCTGCCCTCACAACAAGCACCTTGGGGTGACCCCCACCTCTCCATCCAGCTGGGTGGTGGCCAAGTCCTTAGTCATGGAATCCTTGACATGAGCAGCTGTGCCAATGAGCTTAATTAACACGCAAGGGCCAATTAATCTCTTGATTACCCCTGCCATCCACTTATCAGCTGCTATGATGGGAAGATCAGCTTTGGTACCTCTGCTATCTATGCAAATGAGCTGGTTATGATGCCTTCATTAGTCCCAGACACAATTACCCGGCACAGACACCCATGACATGGAGCTTGGCCAGGTTGTCACCACAGCCAGGCCAGAACCCAGGTGGCTTTTGCAGTTCCAAGTCCCCTCTCTCTGCTTCTCAACGTGCCGCCTCCAGTGGTGCTGGGTTGATGGAGACCTGCTGGTGATGTGGGCAAGACCAGGGGAGAAGAGTCTGTGGGAGCCTGACCCTGCCCTTGTCATCTTGGTGGCCACAATGGGCTCCCTCACTTCTAGGGAGAAGGACACGGGCATGAGCAGAGGGTTTGTGGCCACCAAGAGGCTGATGGCAACCCATGACATGGGATCAGCTGCTCCAGGGCAATTCCCAGGTGGAGGTTCAGGGAAATCACCCTCCATGCCCTCAAAAGGGGGAGATGGTCCCAGCTGGGTCCCGTTGTCCTGAGCTGCTCCTGGCTGGGTGGGGACCAGGTGTGCAGCCCCCAGGTGTGCTGGGCCTGCTGGGAGTGCTGCTATAAAAGCCTCCTGAGCAGCAGTGTCTCCATGAGCTGCTCCTTCTGGGGTCAGGATGGGGTCTGGAGGCAGCCTGGGGGTGGCTGTCTTCTTCTGGGTGTTGGTTGGGGCAACATCTTCCAGCTCCTGGGGTTTCCCTCAAAGGGACTTGGGGGTCTTGAGGGCTCGGGGGGATTCCTCTTGGAGCTGGCCCCGTGTGCCTCCCTTCTCC